TATCATTCTTGAGTAAATATTTATGTGTAATGGAAATCTACCAGTTTCTCCATAAATCATATAACTCGGAGTGCTACTTTTCAGATTCAATATATGTTTTAAATAACGTAAATGTACTCGTTCGATAATATCGATATTTTCATACCCCCATATTTCACAGCCATATAACAATACTGGTAAAACTACTTTATCAAACAAATCCAATTGACATTCGAAGGGGAGATTAAACTGCCTAATTTTACGTATCACACCATACATTGCCTTTTGTGCTTGTTCACATAGGTGTTTTCTTGCTTTACATAATGAGCCTGTACGAGAAAATACAATCCCTAAATAATTAAAATCCTTGACTACTTCTATGATACTGCCATTATATGTAAAAATATTCTTTGGCTGTCTACCCTTTGAAAAAATAAGTATCTTTGTTTTCTTGATATTCACACATAATTTCCATTCTTCACAATATTTGTAAAATTCATTTAGTGCTCTCTGAAGATCTTCAGCAGTTTCGGCTAGAATTACAGTATCATCGGCATAAAATAAGATAAACAATTTCATATACAAAAACAACTCATCCTGTATACCTTTGCTAATACTAGACAAACCAACAATATTCTTTTCTGTCAAAAAATCTTCCAAGTCATTAATATATAATGAAAATAAGAAAGGCGATAAGTTTTCACCTTGTCGTACACCAACATTACAATTAAAAAATTCAGATGACAGACCATTCATTTGTATTTTAGATTTTATACCACTATACATATTTTTAATAAAAGTAAAACATTTACCATTGACCCCACTTCTGAGAAGTTTGCACCAAAGTCCCTCGCGCCAGACTGTATCAAACGCTTGTTTAAAGTCTATAAACGCACAAAACAATTTTCTTTTGCTGTTAATTAATGTCTGAGATAAAAATTGTAATAATAGGATATTGTCTAAAGTAGAGTAACCTTTTCTGAACCCAGTCTGACTTTCTTTAATAAGCATAACTTCTTCTGCATAATTTTCTAAACGGCTACCTAATATTCTTGTAAAAAGTTTACCTAAACAGCTTAAAAGGGTAATCGGGCGGTAATTTTCAGGATGCGTTGGGTCACCCTTATTTTTGTAGATTGGTTTCAGGATACCAATTAACCAGTTTTCTGGTACGATACCAGTTTCAAAAATAAGATTGAAAAAAGTTTCATAAATTGGCAAAAATAATGGCAAAGTTGTTCTTATGTGCTCATTTAAAATATTATCGAAGCCCGGGGCCTTACTGTTCTTCAAATCATTGACAGCTGATGAAATTTCCTCCCTGGTAATTGGATAGTCTAACAGCTCATTATTATTGTAATTATCTACATGTAAATATTTCGTCCAGTTAACCTCAGTATTTTCAATATTACTAGTTTCATTCATATCTCTAAAATAGTTAAACATCGAGTCTAAATCCGCAGAGCTTTTTTCTGATTTTTTAGTACTATTAAGAATGTTCCAATATTCTTTTGTATTTGTTGTACGTAATTTCATAAGTTTCTGCGATAAGTCTTTTCTGTACTGTTTTATTGAGTTATCCATTACCTTTTTGTAATATTTACTTGCTTTCTTCAGACTTTCTTTATTTTCACTCGTTTTATTTGCGTTATTTATGCGCTTCGCTAAATGAAATTTTCTCCTTGCTGTTTTACAGTTACCGTTAAACCATGGTTTATCTTTTTTCTTTACATTACAAGTTCGAAAACTTTTCCTTCCGAATGATTTCTCAGCAGCATTGAAAAATGTATCACACATTCTTGAAATTACATTGTTGACACTTTCATTAGTAACATTATTTGAGGTTCTTAAATTTAATAGTTCTTGTTCGATGCTTTTTAAAATAGACTTGTCGATGTTCTCACGGAAATCGTCTGCTTTGTCATTCGACCAGAGCGTTACACGTGATTGGTTATTTACAGGTGTGTTACTAACGGTAGATATAATTTGCTCAGTAACAATGCTAAATGAAACAGGGCTATGTACGTCTGAAAACATTTCACAAAATTCTAGGATGTCAAAGTTTCTTAACAGTTTGAACATTTCCATACTTGCTAGAACATAATCGACTGTGCTAGTATTTTTACAAGTGAGTGCTCCTACATCTCTATCGCCACCTACGCGACCATTGACAATATACACATTATTATTTATACAAAAATCTATCATCTTATAACCGAAGTTATTATTTGAAAAATCTTTTACAGTCCTGTATGGAACGCCACAGCTGCCTTAAGGTCAATTTTTGATGATATGCAGTTGTTAAATCATTATATGATGTAGTTAAAACATTATATGATGTGGTTATATCATTATATGATGTTGTTAAATCATTATATGATGTTGTTAAATCATTATATGATGTGGCTTTATTATTATATGATGTTGTTAAATCATTATATGATGTTGTTAAAACATTATATGATGTGGTAAAATCATTATATGATGTGGTAAAATTATTATATGATGTGGAAAAATCTTTATATGATGTGGCTATATCATTATATGATGTTGTTAGAACATTATATGATGTGGTTAAGTGATTATGTGCGCTTGTGTATTCCTTATATGATGTGGCTATGTCATTATATGATTGTGTGAAATCATTATATGCAGTGGTTACATCATTATATGCAGTGGTTACATCATTATATGATGTGGTTTTCTCATTATATGATGTGGCTACATCATTATATGGTGTGGTCACATCATTATATGATGTTGTATTTTTATATGATGTTGTTGTATGAGTCATTACCACTGAGGGCAGTAAAATGAAATGGAATGTGCCTGTAACCCAATACGACATTTAAAATTGTCTTTGGAATGTAGGCCAATTTACCCCTCCACTCTCAGATCTCAGAAATCGGCCAGTAGGATATTGTAATTTCAATTCTTCTAATACAGAATCAATGCTGGACACACTTGGAGTAGACATTTTACTAAATTAAAAATGTGAAATAAAACCCAAGTTTGCTGAGTTTGGGAGATAGCTTTGTTTTAAACGGCATTATATAACTTATGGACTGGAGGTTCAACAAGTAGCGCTAAACTTATCTTTCAGCAAAATTGGAAGTACGATTTCTTGTTTTCATTTAAGAATTTCATTTTTATATGATTTTGATGTTAGACTTCAAAATCTATCTGACCAATGGGGCATAATACATAAACCATTCAAAATCTGATTCAACTCCAGACTCCATTCTTAAAACCCCTTCCCTTGTCTCTAGCCGTTGCATTACATATTGCCATTACATAAATGTCAACATGTTAACCCAGTATTAGGAGACTCAGAGATCGGGCTAAATTGGCTTTCACCAAGATAAGGTTACAGGTGCATCTCAATCTCCAGTAACTCCTGGGGAACTCATTAATTTAAAATGAAACAGATGTACAATGTATTTCAAAAACTTATTAAATTAACAAAATGATCAATTGGAATTTTTGGGATATTTTATACTTTGTTTATGCAGACAATATCACACAAATGAGCAAATTTAAAATAAGCATGCGATCAAGTCTGTATGTAACTTTTTATCAACCTATGCTATAAATCTATTCTTACGAATATGGGAAACAGGAATTATTAAAGCTCATTAGCAGGCCTAGAAGGGACTCAATGACAGATAAGGGTTAGCGAGATCTGAGAGTGGAGGGGTAAATTGGCCTACATTCCAAAGACAATTTTAAATGTCGTATTGGGTTACAGGCACATTCCATTTCATTTTACTGCCCTCAGTGGTAATGACTCATACAACAACATCATATAAAAATACAACATCATATAATGATGTGACCACACCATATAATGATGTAGCCACATCATATAATGAGAAAACCACATCATATAATGATGTAACCACTGCATATAATGATGTAACCACTGCATATAATGATTTCACAAAATCATATAATGACATAGCCACATCATATAAGGAATACACAAGCGCACATAATCACTTAACCACATCATATAATGTTCTAACAACATCATATAATGATATGGCCACATCATATAAAGATTTTTCCACATCATATAATAATTTTACCACATCATATAATGATTATACCACATCATATAATGTTTTAACAACATCATATAATGAATTAACAACATCATATAATAATATAGCCACATCATATAATGATTTAACAACATCATATAATAATAAAGCCACATCATATAATGATTTTACCACACCATATAATGATTTTACAACTGCATATAATGATTTAACAACATCATATAATGCTTTAACCACATCATATAATGTTTTAACAACATCATATAATGATATAACCACATCATATAATGATTTAACAACTGCATATCATCAAAAATTGACCTTAAGGCAGCTATGGCGTTCCATAGTCCTGTCAAGAGGAATGTTTACATTATCAAAAAACGTTTCAATATCGTTATTATCAACGCCAGAATTACATTGTTTAACATTTGTTAAAAATTCATCTGTTATAATAAAGTCATTCAATTTGCCCACTCTGGAATTAAAATCCCCCAGCAAACAAACATATTTACAATCTTTGGATATAGACATGAGCTCTTGTTCTATTTCAATAAAACAATCTGGGGATGAATACTTGCTATTTTCTGGAGGGATATATACAATACCAAAATAAATGTCCTCCTCGAGATGAAATAGCGATCTATTACATTTGAACCATAATACATATTTACAATCTGTGTTGATTATTTTGATATACTTGACAATGGAATCTCTAATTAATAAAGCAATGCCACCTGATTTTACTCTTGATAATTTACATCTGTTTTTTAAAAAAGTAGAAAATCCATGTATTTGCAAATTATCAGTGTCGTCTGTTTTAGTTTCAGTTAAACCAATTATATCATAAGAAGAAATAAGATCATTAAATTCCGTATACTGAAGTCTTCTATTTACACCACAAACATTTAATGATAAAAACTTTATTTCATTATTTTCTGTCTGGCCTCCGGCGTTGTCCTAGTATGTGGAAGAAACTGGACCATTATAACGGAATTTTTTGTGTACCGGTGATCTAGTGTCTGTATCACTGTCACTGTTTGCACGGTTAGTACCTGTGGGGGTTCCGCGATGAGTCCACGGTGTGTTTGCGAGGTTGGCCGAATGCCCTCCTGCTGCCTGATCGAGCGAGCGCGTCACTTCCATGCGTGGAGCGGATTCCTGTTCTTCGGGCACGTACAATTCGCCATCAACATACAAAGTGTCTTTTACGAGTTTAACACGCCTGTGTTCTTTTCTGGCCTGACGGATTACAGGGTACAGTTTTTTACGCTGCTCTTCAACCTCCGGGGGGTACTGTTCGTTGACCCAAACGTGAGTTCCCTTTAATTTCCGAGGGGCTTGTGATCTAACGTACTCTCTGTCTTGGAAGAACGAGAATTTCGCCACTATGTTTCGGGGTTTTGTGTTGAACTCCTCGAATTTTCCCATTCTGTGCACTCTCTCGAATGATATGTAATCGTAGATTTTCATCTTATCTTTTATGAAATTACGCAGCACCACCTCACAGTTTTCGTTTCTTTTCTCAGGAATACCACAAAAAACTAGGTTATCTCTCATTGATCTACTACGGAGATCAGTGATGGACTCCTGTAATTCAACATTTTTCTTTTTTAAAGTGTGAACACTTGAGTTGAGTTCCTCGTCCCTTTTCCTTGAATCATCTTTTAGCTGTTTTAATTCTTTCTCGGCAGTGTGTTTCACACCGTCAAACATATCACTAATAGATTTGGCACTCATCTCCGCCTCTGTCACCGTCTCTTTCATGGTTTTTATTTCACATTCAAATTTTTGAATTTTATTTTCAAGTAAAACAACTGCTTCTGCCAATCTATTAATCGTACTCATTTTATTCTCGATGTCACACATTCTCTTTTCCAAGGTAGAGCTGTTTGTTTCAATGTTTGTTAGTCTCGCATCTATTTTTAGAAGGATGGTATGTAAAGTACTAAGAGAAATTTCACTTGGTTGTTCATGGACCCCCTCCATTCCTCCATATATAACTGAGTGACTTTGCGAAACTAAGTTTGCAGTATCTGTTACTGATGTAGTTACTGTAGTAATATCTGTCATGATTTCACACTTATAGCAGTGAACGCCATATACGAAAATCACAAAAGGTAAAACACCTATGTACCGAGTTCAGTATACGACACAGTAGGACGCCATGAGTAGTTTTCATTTAGTGTTCACAGCTAGATAACCCTATAGTCACTGAATAAATAAGCAAAAATAAACTTCAAGACTCACCAAATATTGCGGATTTACACTTCTATGAATATTTACACACTACACAACCATACAACATAACTTTTAGCCAACATCGAAAGTTCTTTGTAGCATTTTTCATTCTTTTTTGTGGAGCCGATCTTAACACACCTTTACTTGTCTTTGACCCTTGACCCATCATAAGACCAGAAGAGCTTATGCGATAGTAATTCGTCCGTCGTCCTTCCGTGTGTCTGTCGAGCTGTCTATCCGTCTGTCTGTCTGTCTGTCTGTCTGTCTGTCTGTCTGTCTGGAAACATTTTTTTCAAAATGCTACACCTCCTACAGTTTTGGTCTGATCTCAATATAACTTGGCACACAAGTAGACTACACTAAGATACATGTACATAATTCTGTGTGTCGGTTTTTGATTTCGATGAACGGTGTTCCCGTGGTTATGGAACGCCATCACTGCCTTATAGCATACAACTATGCATTTATTACGTCAATTTATCATTACGTGATGTGAACATATCTTTACGTTATGTCCAATTTTTATGGGATGATGAAAATATATCTTAACATCATGTCAATGCTGCATTACATGAAGTAAATACATCCTTTCATTATGTCAGCACTTCATAACTTGAAGTAAAAAATTCATTATGTGAAGTGATAATGTGTTTACATTGTGTTAAAACTTTATTACGTGAAATGAATGTTTCTTTACATCATTTCATTTCTTTAATATGTGAGGTCAAAATTGCATTACGTCAAGTAAATTGTGTTTTATAATTAAACTTCTCATCACACTGTCACAGATGAAAATGTACCATGGACATTTTGACAATTACTTTAGATATTTTCAATTCAAAATTCTACATATCTGTTGTTTGTCATAATTGCTTAAATCTGTCACATTGATCTACTTTGACATGTCTAATTATCTTAATTAGCCATGAGTGATATGACCAGATGGACTGAGCTTTGTGTGACTTAATTATTGTTTATTTAAAATCATTATCTTTAACTCTACTTGTAAATCAAATAACTCATGTCATGTATTACTCAGAATTGTCAATTATCAAACTTGTCTATAAATACAAATTTTTGTTGACATTCGGGGAGTTGGAATCGGGACGCGCTTGTCCCTGATACTGTCCGAACCGACGAGAAATAAAGGCCTGCAAATCGTAAAGCGGCTTTATCTTCATTTACTAATAGTCCACCCTAGTGGCTTTACCGACAAGCACACGCATCTAACGCAAGGGTGTGATAAGTGGTGCAGATAACCGGGTACGACCCCCTCTCACAGCCAAGCGAGTTCTACCATTGATCCCCCTAACTTCTACGAGATTTCCCCAAATTCAGAAAAGCAACTATCATTTCGTACACGCCGCTATGAATCGCAGCCTTGGACCACAACGGAGACCTGAGGACCATCACTTTCAGCGTCATCATCCAGTTTGTGGCCGATGTGGACTTGTCCATGGACCCAGTTGCCGTGCTCAAATGGAGAAGTGTTACAGATGTAAGCGTCATGGTCACTATGCTAGAATGTGCAGGACTGTCCTCTCTTCCCCTGTGAGGATGACCTTGATGGCAAATACTAGTGCACCAATCCAAGAGCAACATTCCGGTAGACGAAAGTCCAGAGACAAAATTCGTATGGAAAAATACATTGAAACAAAATCTCACCTCCGCGAATTGCCGTTCTACAATTTGAGAAATACCGCTTTCCAGGACGCCCTAAACATCCATCATGGCCTTAAAACAGAACTTCGTCAAATACACGCAAAAATAAAAGAGATGGAAATAATGTATACCGACGCAGTTAACATCATCATCAACCAAGAAGAAAAGCTTGACCAACTACTGACAAGACAACTGCCCGAATCATCGAATTACATTACCGCTGAAGATAAAGTAAACCTTTCAAAGTTGCAGCACGATGTTAACACACTACGGATTGAAAACGCATCTTACAAACAATTGATAGATTCAATAAGTGCAAACGTCCAAGAAGAATGGATAGAAAACAGAGCGAAACTTCAAGAAAGGGACAACACCATTCTAACCCTGAAAACCGAAAATATTAAACTCTTGAACAACCAGGAATTGTATTTACAACGAATTCGTGAACTTGAAAATGAGGCCTATAATCGTTCCATCAAAACCCTAAATTACGGACAAAACCGGCAAAATATTCATTTCGGACATCAAATTTATTCAAGTGAACAAATCTCTAGTGTACATGTACCTATTCAAAACACGAGGCCGTGTTTTACTGGGGCAAGGGGGTATTGTCACAGATGAAAATGTACCATGGACATTTTGACAATTACTTTAGATATTTTCAATTCAAAATTCTACATATCTGTTATTAAATTTAATGAGTTTGTCATAATTGCTTAAATCTGTCACATTGATCTACTTTGACATGTCTAATTATCTTAATTAGCCATGAGTGATATGACCAGATGGACTGAGCTTTGTGTGACTTAATTATTGTTTATTTAAAATCATTATCTTTAACTCTACTTGTAAATCAAATAACTCATGTCATGTATTACTCAGAATTGTCAATTATCAAACTTGTCTATAAATACAAATTTTTGTTGACATTCGGGGAGTTGGAATCGGGACGCGCTTGTCCCTGATACTGTCCGACCCGACGAGAAATAAAGGCCTGCAAATCGTAAAGCGGCTTTATCTTCATTTACTAATAGTCCACCCTAGTGGCTTTACCGACAAGCACACGCATCTAACGCAAGGGTGTGATAACACGAAGTCAAAAGCCCATTCCTTTTTGAGAGTGTATATTTCTATTATATCAAAGTATTATTACGTGATATGGATTTATCTTTATTTTACGGCGAGAGCATCATGATGTGAGGTGAACACATCTTACCTTTATGTCAGTGCTTTATTACGTGGTGTAAAAAGTGTATAACATAATGTGAACATATCTTTATATTATATCAACGCTTTATTACATTATGTCAAAACTCCATACCGTGATGTGGATATACCGGTATTATAACGTTATGCCAACTCTTTCTTATGTGATTTAAAAATATCTTTATATTGTGTTAACTCTTTATCATGTGGATTCCAAGTTCATTACCTGATGCAAAAATACATTTACATTATCTCAAAGCTGTATATCTAGTATATAATAAATGTTGACGACCGTTTTTTAATGACTAGTAAGAAGGGGGGGGGTGTCGTGATTGATTAGGACAAATTACAGGCACATAATATCAACCCCCCTCTTTTCCCAGACATAACTTTACTATAGAAAATGGAATGTTCATTGAAACTGTACAGCCCCCCCACCCCCACTTCTTGTTGAAATATAGTCCACTAAGGGTAATATCATATATCTGGAAAAAAATAGGATTGATTGAAGTTGGACCACTCTCCCCGAAATAGGATTTTCGGGCTTGGATATTTTTTTTTCTTGGCTTGTCTAGTTTTTTTCGGATAAATGATTTTTTTTTACTGGCTGACCTCCTCTTTCAAAAAAATGATGCTACGTCACTGGAGTTAGTATTTTTTTTAATCATTCCAGGGCCAGAATTCTATTACAAAAATCTACCAGTCGCTCATTTAAATCAATTGAATATGCCTTAGTAAGCATGCATGGGCACATATCAGTGGCAGATATGGGAATCTTGAACAAGGAAGGGGGACGGTATATGGTTGGAGACCAAGGGCGGAAAGCGGAAAAGCTCTCAGGCTTTATAGTTTTATAGAAAAAAGTTTTCAACTTAATTCAGCTAAACTTAATGTGAAACTAATGCAATGTCCTACAAAGGTTAAGACTTTTATAAAAAAAAAAAAAAAAAAAAAAAAAAATTCAAAATAAAAAGAAAAAAATGATTGCTGCACGACTCATAATATTTGATTTTTTTAATTATCAGATTAAAGTAAACACCATTGAATTTCGACGTGACTTTAATTCACAGTCGCAGTGTTAAGGCTTTGCATGTTTCAAGATTGTCAATCATTTGTCGCTTAAAGTTTTCATTTAAAGATGTCATTCCGAAATCGCTGAGAATCTCTTCTACGACAGTTTTCTCTCCCGCCATTTTAGTGCTTGCGGAACGCTGAAAATACGTTATGCTCATATAAAGGCCGAGGATACCCGCGTTCGCATAACGTAATAGTGAATCGACATAATGTAGAAGAGTGCGCACAGTATGGCATGAGCTTTTCACATCAGTTAATAAAAACTAAGATTGTCATGAAAAGTAAACATAACGAAATGCAAGTTGACGAAATAAAATTGTAGTATGTGTAAATGTCATAAAGAGTTGATATAATGTAAAGGAAAGTTAACACGATGCAATAGTAGTGTGGGTTAATGTCATAAAGAGTTGACATAATGTAATGGAAGGTTGGCACAATGCAATAGTAGGGTGGGTTAATGTCATAAAGAGTTGACATAATGTAATGGAAGGTTGACACAATGCAATAGTAGTGTTCTGCTATAAGGCAGTGACGGCGTTCCATACGTGGTTACTAAAAATAGAAATTTCTGTGAAATACTTTCC